GATGAAAGGGAAGAACATAAAACCCAGGGAATAGCAGACGACTCCCAGAGGTGAGCAGAGAGACACTCATGTGAAGGAACCACAAACAGCAAAGAGGTAAGACAAAGCAACAGGAGGCTGCAGGCTAACTTGTGACACCCAAAGGTGCTTTAACAAACTCAAATAGTAAAATTCTCCAGCACATCCAGATATATATATATATATATATATATATTTTTTTTTTTTTTTTTTTTGATCCACCATGCAGTGCACAAAAACTAAACACCATGTGTACAAAAAAGTGCACAGGATGTGGCAATGGTCCCTTTTCAAAGAGGAAGGACCTTCCTGAGGTAAATGTGAGTAGGTAAGGGGTTCTCCTAAAGAGAGCTCACCCAGAGCAGGGGAAGAAGGAACCCAAGGGCCACACATCCTACCTCTAGACTTCAGGACAGACCCAAAGACCCACACCCTACCATCCTTGGTGAATGAAAAAGACACACAAAAAAAGGGAAGTTACAAAAAATAAATAAAACAAAGGTGATGATGTGCAATACAATGGTTAGAAATTGTAGCTTGGTAACAATAAGTACCCTGGTCTCAGCCAAAAGGCCTAGCTCATGAAGCAATGTCCAGCACATCCAGATAAAGCCTCCATAAAAAGTAGAGGTTTGTTAAAAAAAAAAAAACATTAAAATGTTCTGGTGAATATTCTTTGGGGCCCAATCTTCCTTGGCTTTTTGTTTATGGGAAACACATAATGCATTTTGTTCAGCTCTTCATTGAACAACGGCTAAGTGTTTGCCATAAGCAACTTCAAAGGTAGCAAAAGCCACATGTGCATAAAAAACCTGGACTGGGCACCAGTTTAGTACTCTCATAGTGACATAGCTGCATGTGTGTTTTCTAGTAAAAGTAGGCACTTGACCGGTCCTTTAACATGGATTTGAGTTTTCTCAACTTCATTTTTGTTTACAGGGCAGCTCAGGGAATGCATCAACCCTTTGTTAGGGATTTCATAACAGCTGATGAGGTCCTTAAGGTTGTGGAAGTATTTTTCTTCTACACCTTCAGCTGCCTATGGAAGAAAAAAATATCAGCCACAATTTGTGTAGCTCACATAAATGAACCTACCATGATTTTGATAACTTTTGCGTTTCCGATAAATATTCAGCATTCCAAGCAACCTTTAATAAATCACCTATTTTTTTGGAAATGTGAATTATTTTAATAAAGTTTATGTGGGTAATTATTTGCAGATATGATTTTGACAAAATTCTCTCAACAGGCATTGAGCAGCTGGGCTCTTAGAAAACGATGTCGCTTGCTCATAAGCAAGGCTACACCCCTTTCTGGCCTATTGCAACTTTATACTGAATTTCTTAGCATAGTGTTAAATAAGGGTTCCTATAGAAAGGTAGTAATCAAGTACTGGGATTATGTACATATGCATATTGCAGAGATTGGTTGGACACATTCAAACAAATTGGATGTTGGCTGACTGCAAGCCTCCCTGATCTACAGTATTTTCATTGACATGCATGAACACAGACCATGGTATCATGAATATTAAGTGGTAAATGTAATATAATAGTGATATATTAGCAATTTAATATCCATTTAAAAATGCATATGAACAATGTTACCATTGTGCTAATATATTAAAAATGTTTGGTTTGCTGATTTGCTAATGCTGACATGTGCCTGTTACTTAATGTAAAGTTTACATTTTAATGGTAAATCCACATTAGGGGCAAAATTTTAAAGCAGTAAATTTGACTTTCACAAAACATTATTTGCAGGTATAATCAGTAACTGTAATTTAAAACATATGCATCTAGGAGATACACCTGTAACAAATCTTTTGTGAATGTCACATTTACTGCTTTAAAAATATACCCCTAATTGTCATAACAAAATTGCCAATATTCTTATCCAGTTACCGACACAGTACATATACTGCGGCAGTGCGGCACCGCTGCACAAAATCATATATATACACGAGGCGAGGCACGCGAATGTCCTACCCGCACCGCTGATCGTGACCGCGGGTGTCAATCACCGGGTCCTGGTCGGTGATTACCCACTGGAGCCTGGCGATTACCGGCAAACACTGACAGGAGGACGGCTGCAGTGTTTACACTGCAGCTCTCCTCCCTGTCAGTTTGAGCACACTGATTCAGATAGCAGAGCACAGCTTTCCAGATCAGTGTGCTGCGGTGAAGCACACCCCCCCGCCCCCTAGTAAAACTTTCTCCTCACACAGTTAACCCTTTGATTGCCTCCAAATGTTAACCCCTTCCTCCCCAGTGCCATTAGTACAGTGTCAGTGTTTTTTTTTTTTTGCACTGATCAATGTATTGGTGTCACTGGGGATGTCAGTGACCCCAAGTCAGTTCCCCCGCAGTGTCAGAATATCTGCCGCAGTCCCAACAAAAGTCGCTGATCGCCGCCATAAGTCGCTGATCGCCACTATTATTAGTATGAAAAAAATAATAAATTCCAGTATATATACCGCCATTTGTAAACGCTATAACTTTCACGTAAACCAATTAATTTACACGTATTGGGATTTTGTTTTAGCGAAGACATGTAGCAGAATACATTTTGGCCTAAATTTATGATGAAATTTGATTTTAAAATTTTTTTTACTGGACATGTTTTTATAGCAAAAAGTCCAAAATATTGTTTTTCTTCTCAAAAGTGTCAGTTTTTTTTTTCATAGTGCAAAAAATAAAAAACACACAGGTGATCAAATACCATAGAAAGAAAGCTCAATTTGTGGGGAAAAAGGACGTTAATTTCATTTGGGTGCAGCGTTGCATGACCGCACAATTTTGAGTTAAAGTAATGCAGCGCCATAACACAAACCACTTGTGTAACCTCTTACTGACCGCCCTATAGCAGAAATACTGCTACAGGGCGGCACGGGTGCTCAAAATCACATATATATATATATGTATGATTCACGGTCCCATGGTTTTCACACCCCTTCCAGATAGCATCAGATTGCCCTTCAGTACACCAGTGATCACATTTAAATCCTTGATTGCCAGGAACACGCTCATACACAATAAACCTCCATTGCTAGTATAGTGCCTGAATATCTTTGATCAGATCAGCACTATACCAGGGTTCACATTAGTTAAGCATCCCCAAAAATGCAGCGTTAGCGGGATCAGCCCCGGCACGTACGTTTAGCCCCTACGCTTATCCCCCCCCCCCTTCTCCCCCAGCAAGTGCAGTGGCAGTAGGTCACTGTCACTTGATACATTGCACACAAAACCGCAGTGTTCGCAGAATCAGGCCTGATCTCTGCTAGCATTTGTCAGTAAATTTTGATGACTCTCATATGCAGCAGAGTGCCAGAACTAGTGCCGCTCTACCTTTTGGTAAACTGGCGAGCACCAGCAGCCTAGTACACCCTCTTCTTTCACATACCAGCACTGCAGTACCACTTGGTGATGTGGCGAGTCCCATAAGTGCAGTACAAGCTGGTGCGGTGGCGAGCACAAGTATTGTCCCGCAACCACCAAGAATTTGCACACAGGCCCATGGTGCCCCTAGTACCTGTTAGGAATGGACTGGCCAGCAATGGTGGGACTCACCTGCCTTTTGATCTGCAGTACCAGGGCTGGCCAGCGGGTGCTCCCAGCAATCAGAGACTCAGTCTTTCAGCCAGCTAACACCTGGAACTGATGATGCTGGGGTATTTAAGGGATGGCCAGACCCACAGACTCTGCCTTGGTGTTGTGTTTGTCCTGGGCCCTGTATCTGTCCTGCATCCTGTTTCTGGTCCTTTGCTGACTTCTCCTGCTCTGATCCTGGCTTGTGACCCTGACCATCCCTCTGTCTGACCCTCTGTACTACGCTGCTTGCTACCTGTTCTGATCCCTGGCTTGTGACCCGGACCATCCCTCTGCCTGACCCTCTGTACTACGCTGCTTGCTACCTGCTGAAACTGGCCTGTGACCCCGACCATTCTCCGCTTGCTCCCCCTGTACCTACCTGCCCAATTGATATTGACCCGGCCTGCCTGACGACGCTTGCTTGTATATACTGTTATCTGTGGGTGGTTTGGTTTGTTTGCACCGTATTATGTTTTAGTATTGCACTGCGTTTATGTTTGTACTGTTAGTGTTAATAAATTATATTGTTTATAACATATCTGAGGTCTGCGTTTCCCTGCTTCAGTCACACACCTCTGGTCATACCTGGGAGCCCTGACATTACACCAAGGCCAATCCTGACCAGAAGTGGCTGCACAGGGAAGCCATCTTGGCTTGTTGATGGGAAGGATGGATCTTGAGGAGGTTGAGTATTTATATCTGCTAGTGTTTGATGACAGGGAGTATGCTTATCAAACTCTGAAGGAGTATACCCGGGATGAATTGCTAGAATGTATACGGCTCGCTCATGTTCTAGTAGATCAGGGCACAGTGTTCTCTGAGGTGCAGCCATTGATTGAGGTTTGTGCAGAGTTGGTTTCATCTGGTTTCCCCCGAATGCAGGGATGAATTTTTGCCACCATTTAGTGCAGACCAGGTAGAGTCCCTGGTGTGGTTATTAGAGGATGATGTGGGTTACTTTCTGGAGCGTTATTCCACATGTTCACCACAGACACTGAGAGATTGTATAAACGCAGTGCAGTCATTGACCAGACAGGCTTTGTGTAGCTCAGCTTTGTTCAACCCCTACTGCAGACATGGACAGATTTGTTGCACCCAGCCTCAGTCAGCTTACAAAGACCCAGTCCTGCTTCTAACTCTACTCCTGTATTCCACCAGCTCCTCCAGTTACAGCCCAGTATACTTGCTATCTACCGCATGTCAGTACCCTGTTCCCACTCGCTGCACCTATCCTGCCTTTAACCCTGTAAAAAAGCCCTCTGTAGCAACTGCTCCCTCTCCTGTTCCATCCTCCAGTTCTTCTCTGTCTCCACTGCTCCATTCGTTTGCAGACCTGCTTTACTTGCAGTGCTCCCATTAGTTAAAAACCAGAAAAAAGCGAAAATTCTTTCCAACCATATACCATCCTGCCAGTATCCAAACCGGTGAGCCTGCCTTCCGTGGTTCAGACTGATGCCTGTACGCAGCCTGATGCCTCTACTCGGCCTGAAGCCTCTACTCGGCCTGAAGCCTCTACTCGGCCTGAAGCCTCTACGCGGCCTGAAGCCTCTACGCGGCCTGAAGCCTCTCCTAGGCCTGAAGCCTCTACTCGGCCTGAAGCCTCTACTCGGCCTGAAGCCTCTACTCGGCCTGATGCCTCTACTCGGCCTGATGGCCTGTACTCGGCCTGATGCCTCTCTTCAGCCTGAAGCCTACTACTCGGCCTGAAGCCTCTACTCGGCCTGAAGCCTCTACTCGGCCTGAAGCCTCTACTCGGCCTGATGCCTCTACTCGGCCTGATGCCTCTACTCGGCCTGATGCCTTACTCGGACCTGAAGCCTACTACTCGGCCTAATGCCTCTACCCAGCATGATGAACTGATCCAGCTGACGATCCTATTAGGCCAGTGACTCGATGCCGCTGTTGATCCAGATGATCCGGTTTACCTGATCCGGTGCCCGCTGTGAGCCAAATGACCTGATGCCTGGTGACCCAGTGCCCGCTGTCATACCTGGTGACCCGATGCCCGCTGTAGCCAGAAAATCCGGTACCTGATGACCCGGTGGCTCACTGTCGGCCTGTTGACTCGGAGCCCACTGCCTTGCCAGATGACGCGGTGCCCGCTGTCGAGCCAAATGACCTGATGCCTGGTGACCCAGTGCCCGCTGTCCAGCCAGACGATCCAATGTCTGACCCAGTTGCCCGCGGTCATACCAGTTGACTCGGAGCCCACTGCCTTGCCAGATGACGCGGTGCCCGCTGTCGAGCCAAATGACCTGATGCCTGGTGACTCCCCCACCCGATGCCCGCTGTCCAGCCAGACCATCCAATGTCTGACCCAGTGCCTGCGGTCATACCAGTTGACTCGGAGCCCACTGTCGTGCTGGTGTCTCGGGTCCCGCCGCTCGCCTGGGGGCCCGAGACCTGTTTTGCTCCGCTTGGGGGTCCAGCTCCCGCCGCTCCGCCTGGGGATCCGGCGCCCGCCGCCCGCCTGGGGGCCTGAGACCTGTCGCTCCGCCTGAGGGCCCGAGACCTGTCGCTACCGCCTGGGGGTCGGGCACCTGCACTCCGCTTGAGGGCCCAGACCTGTCGCTCCTCCTGGGGGTCCGGCGCCCGCCGCACCGCCTGAGGGCCCGAGACCTGTCGCTCCACCTGGGGGTCCGGCGCCGCCGCTCCGCCTGAGGGCCCGAGGACCTCATTCGTCCTCCTGGGGGTCCGGCGCCCGCCGCTCCGCCTGAGGGCCCGAGACCTGTCGCTCCGCCTGGGGGTCCGGCGCCCGCCGCTCCGCCTGAGGGCCCGAGACTGTCGCTCCACCTGGGGGTCCGGCGCCCGACCCGCTCCGCGATGAGGGAAACCGAGACCTGTCGCTCCATCTGGAGGTCCGGCGCCCGCCGCTCCGCTGAGGGCCCGAGACCTGTCGCTCCGCCTGGGGGTCCGGCGCCCGCCACTACGCCTGGGGGCACGATGCCTGTCGCCCGCCTGGGGGCACGATGCCTGTCGCCACCCCGCCTGGGGGCCCGATGCCTGTCGCCCCTCCTGGGGGGGGGCCCGATGCCTGTCGCCCCGCCTGGGGGCCCGGTGCCTGCTGCTCCGCCCGGGGGCCCGGTTCCTGCTGCTCCGCCCGGGGGCCCCGGGTGCCTGCTGCTCCGCCCGGGGGCCCGGTGCCTGCTGCTCCCGCCCGGGGGCCGGTGCCTGCTGCTCCGCCCGGGGGGCCCGGTGCCTGCCGCCCCGCCCGGGGGCCGGTGCCTGCCGCCCCGCCCGGGGGCCCGGTGCCTGCCGCCCCGCCCGGGGGCCCGGTGCCTGCCGCCCCGCCCGGGGGCCGGTGCCTGCCGCCCCGCCCGGGGGCCCGGTGCCTGTGATCCGCCGGGGGCCGGTGCCTGCTGCTCCGCCTGGTGGCCCGCTGCCTGCTGCTTCGCCTGGTAATCCGATGTGGCCTCTGCCCGGAGTCCTGCCCGATGTGCCTCTGCCCGGAATCCTGCCCGATGTGCCTCTGCCTGGAGTCCTGCCTGATGTGCCTCTGCCCGGTGTGCCTCTGCCCGGAGTCCTGCCCGATGTGCCTCTGCCGGAAGTCCTGCCGATGTGCCTCTGCCGATGTGTCTCTCCTTGAGGGGGGGTACTGTTAGGAATGGACTGGCCAGCAATGGTGTCACCTGCCTTTTGATCTGCAGTACCATGGCCAGCGGGTGCTCCCAGCAATCAGAGACTCAGTCTTTCACCATCTAACATGGAACTGATGATGTGGGGTATTTAAGGGATGGCCAGACCCACAGACTCTGCCATTGGTGTTGTGTTTGTCCTGGGCCCTGTATCTGTCCTGCATCCGTGGTCACTTTGCTGACTTTCCTGCTTGACTGGCTTGTGACCCTGACCATCCCTCTGTCTGACCCTCTGTCTACGCTGGCTACCTGTTCTGATCCCTGGCTTGTGACCCGGCATGCCTGACCTCTGTACTACGCTGCTTGCTACCTGCTGAACCTGGCCTGTGACCCCGACATTCTCGCTTGCTCCCCCTGTACCTACCTGCCCAATTGATATTGACCCGCCTGCCTGACGACGCTTGCTTGTATATACTGTTTCTGTGGGTGGTTTGGTTTATGTTTTTGCACCGTTATTATGTTTAGTATTGCACTGCGTTTATGTTTGTACTGTTAGTGTTAATAAATTATAATTGTTGTTTATACATATCTGAGGTCTGCGTTTCCCTGCTTCAGTCACACACCTCTGGTCATACCTGGGAGCCCTGACAGTACCCTTGCTTTGTGCTTGCAAATCTCCGATTGGCAGCTCACAATTTCATGCAGCACCCGTTACTTCCCCCATCACTGCCAACCTGGAATTCAGGTGTAAACAGCAAATTTAACTACTCCCCTTGATTTTTTGGAGCTGTTTTTTTCACGGAAGATCTGTACGTAATGATTGTGAATCAAAGCATTTTATATGCACAACAATTTATCGCCGTCAACCAAAATTCAAACCTTGCCAGACCAGTGGCATGGAAACCCATGATTTTCCGAATGTACATTTTTTTGGGGCCTAACCCTCAACATGGGCATTTACTAAAAAAAATGAATTGTGGTTGTATTGGTCCACAGACCCAATTATCATAGGCCCGTCCTAGTTCTCTGCTGCCATGGCTAGGCATAGATATGAGACTATAATGTGTTTTTTGCATTTCAACGACAATATACTCTGTCATCCTCGGGGTGACCCTGAATTGAACCGGTTCCACAAAATTCAGCCCCTCGTAAATCACCTTAACCAAAAATTTGCAGATGTCTATACTCCCCAGCAAAAATCTGCGTTGATGAGTCCATCATTCATTTTTTTTGGCAGGCCTTGCATTCAAACAATGCCCTGCAAGTGTGCCATATATTGGGGTCAGATGTATAAGACCCTGTGAGAGGACAACAGGCTTACTTATAAGTTTTGGATTTATGAGGGAAAAATATGGTACGTGGAGCCCCCGAATGCCCAGACTACGTGGGGAGCAGTGGCAAGATAGTTTGGGACTTGGTGTCATCCTTTTTTCCATATGGGGTACCACTTATATGTGGACAATTTTTTATTCACGCGTGCCATATTTAGACATTTGTACAATCTTGGAACTGGTGCATGGGCACTGTGCAACCTAATGTGTGCCCACCATTAGTAAGTGGGTGGATGCAGGGCGGTATAGTCTAATGGTGGGGAACACACACTTTTTCAGGCAGAGATTTTCCTCTTTTTTTTCATTCAGCCACAGGCTGCATGCAAAAAAAAAAAAAAACATAGCATATATACCCAAGAAGGACCAGCGACGTATTGGTACATCACTCGACTTTGAATGGTTATACCAGGATGATGCCTACATGTAAAAGCAATCCTAGTTGCTAATTAGCTGCAGGATTGCTTTTACAAGCCGTGGGAGACAAGGCCCCCCCCCCCCGCTGCCTTCCACAGCCTTCTCGAGCAGTCCCGTGCCATCAGGAGAACCTGAGAATGCATCCGGTGCAGGGGCGGACTGACAACTCATGGGCCCCCGGGCAATAGGGGATCATGGGGCCCCTGTGTCCTTGCCCAAACTAAAAAAAGCCTATGAAATAGGTACCAGGGGCAGTACTCACCATGCCTCCTTTTAATTCCTTGGGGTGTCTACTTTCCAAAAAGAGGTCATTTGGGGGGGGTTTGATGCTATCCTGACATTTCAGGGCCTTCCAAACTGTGATAGGTAGTGAGGAAATGAAATGAGGAAGTTACGCACCTTCAGGCTTTCAAAGTGGTCATTGGATTTCAGACTCATGTATGTGGCTTGGGTCCCAAAAAGTCTCACACATGTGGTATCTCCATGCTCAGTAGAAGTAACAGAATGTATTTTGGGGTGTAATTCCACATATATTCCACATATACCCATGGCTTGTGCGAGAAAATATATAATTTAAATGACAACTTTGTGTAAAAAAAAAAAAGTTTTGTCATTTTCCAGAAACTTGTGGAAAAAAAAATCTCAGCTTAGGGTGTCTACTTTCCGAAAAGAGGTCATTTGGGGGTGTTTGTACTATCCTGGTATTTTAGCACCTCAAGAAATGTGATGAGCAGTCAGAAAGTAAAAGCTGTGTAAATTCCATTATCTATACCATAGTTTGTAGATGCTATAATTTTACACAAAGCAATAAATATACACTTATTGGGTTTTTTTAACCAAAAACATGTAACAGAATACATTTTGGCCTAAATTTATGATGAAATTTTAATTTTTTTGGGATATTTTTTTATGATAGAAATGAGAAAATATTGTTTTTTTAAAAAAAAAAAAGTTTTTCTCAAAACATTTTTTGTTTATAGTGCCAAAAATAAAAAGGGCACAGGTGATCAAATACCACCAAAAGAAGGCCCTATTTAAGTTATGTACCGTATTGCATGACAGTGCAATTGTCAGTTAAACTAGCGCAGTGCTGAATAGCAAAAAAATGGCTTAAATTGCAGTGTCTATACCATAGTTTGTAGACGCTATAACTTTCACACAAAGCAATCAATATACAATTATTTAGATTTTATTTTACCAAAAACATGTAACAGAATACATTTTGGCCTAAATTTATAACTAACTTTGAGTTTACTATATATTTATAATATAGCCAAAAAAAAAAATATTGTTTTTCTTCAAAATTTTAGATATTTTTTTTTTTTATAGAGTGAAAAATTAAAAGCACACAGGTGTGATCAAATACCACCAAAAGAAAGCTCTGTGTGAAAAAAAGGACGTAATTTTGTTTGGATACATCATTACATGACTGCGCAATTATCAGTTGAATTAGTGCAGCGCTGAGTAGCAAAAAGAGGCCTGGTCATTAAGGGGGGTAAATCCTCTGCAGGGCAAGTGGTTATTTTCCAAGAAGCCAAATTCAAAGGCTTTTGAGACTCAGAAAGTGCTAAACTAAAGATATTATTGTTAGTCATAAGAGGAATAATATGAGCTAACTAAAACGATATAGGAAAAGGCAATATTTATTTTTTAAAGCTGAACTCCAGGTATGGATTTTTCTTAGTTACATTGGTCCAGCATGGACACATATTCTATACCTGGCCGATCCCTGAGGATGTGAAGAATCAGTGTGAAAACCACGATAGGTCCATGCCGAGTGGCTGCCCTGCAACATAAAATCCACAGGGAGTCACCCTCTCACCATTCTGAAAGGTTATTGAATTTTCTCAATAAATGCAAAGCATTCTCTGATTAGAGGAGGTTGAGATTCTGACATCACCACCCTGCCTCTCCACCCCGTCCAGTCAGAGAATGCTTGCCATTCATTGTTGTGCAAGTGACCCTCAGTAACAACTATGCAGCAAGACAGCCACTGGGCACAATACCCAGAAAACAGTGAGGATCACTGTAGTAGTGGCGACCAGGTATGAAATATGTAATCTACACCGGCCCAAGCTGGACCAATATAACGATGCAATAAACATACTTGGAATTCAGCTTTAACGCAATATGACGACACATTTTTGGCATTAACAAATTTATGATAATTAGAAAAAAAATTGCAAAAATTATTTGCATTAAAACATTTTAACATCTTGCCGAACAGCCACTGCATTAAAACGGTGGCAGGGCGGCACGGCTGTGCAAAACCACGTTTTTAAATGTGCTCCGTGCTCCCAAGGTTTTCGCGGGCCAGGGGGGGGGGGGGCGGCCTTCACTGCCCTGTCACCAGTGTCATTGATTACAATGAACAGATTTTTACTGATCACTGTATTAGTGTCACTGTTGACTTCCGATAGTGTTAGCGTCAGTTAGTGCCCCTCCCAGATAGCGTCAGATTGCCGCTAGTACACAAGTAATCACATTTGATCCCTTGATTGCCAGTAACACGCTTAATTGCACGCTAAACCTCCATTGCTAGTAGAGTGTCTGATTGGATCAATATCTTTGATCAGATCAGCACTATACCAGCGTTCACATTACTATAGTATCCCCAAAAAACGCAGCGTTAGCGGGATCAGCCCCGACACTTGCCAGCACCTGCGTTTAGCCCCTACGCCCCCCCTTTCTCCCCCATCAAGTGCAGCGTCAGTAGATAACTATCACTTGATACATTACACACAAAACCGCAGTGTTCACAGAATCAGGCCTGATCTCTGTTAGCACTTGTCGGTAAATTTTTTTGTAGCGTTCAAGCAGTACCTGACAGCCACGCACTCTTTTTAGGTCGCACTAGGGTATATAAATTTAGTGGCGAAAATGTCCAAGCAAAGGTACACTAGTGAAGAGGCCTACAGGATTCTGAGCATGTCAGGTGAGAGAGAAGGGGAAGACTCCCTGACAGAATCAGGCTCAGAATACGGTGACAGATTCAGGCTCAGAATACGAACCTATAGACAGCAGCGGCACCCTGACAGATAGCTCAGACGACGGAGAAGAGGTCCCTGCTAAGATCAGGCGTACCCGACCCCATTCCCAGGTTGCTGAGGTGGTACAAACGCATGATGACTCTCATATGC